TTACTAGTAAGGGAAAGTAAACGTAATTACTTTAAATTTCTAACGGTTTCGTAACTTACTAGAAGTAAGTAACGTAATTACTTTAATTATACGGTTTCTAATTCAGAAGGAAGTAACATTACTTTAATCACGGTTTTAAATTCAGAAGGAAGTAACATTACTTTAATCACAGTTTTCAATTCAGAAGGAAGTAACATTACTTTAATCACGGTTTTAAATTCAGAAGGAAGTAACATTACTTTAATCACGGTTTTCAATTCAGAAGGAAGAAACATTTCTACTGAGTTAATGAGAAAAAAAAAATTCATTCTAAATTTGAAAGTAAAGCGAGGCTACATAAAAGTGTGTCTACATTGTGTCCACCTCCAGGAATCGAAGTCTAGATTTTAACGTTATGAGCCTCAAACCTTACAGCTGAGCCCCGGTAGGGGAACTAGTAAAGTAGGCTTAGTATTTTTAAACATCTCCTAGACGATAAACATTTGGTCCTTTCAATGTACAAATGCTTTAATACGTTAAGATATATCTTATTAATACAATCAGCTGCGGTAGTCACCAAACTCATTTTCGCAATGTACCAGCGACAAAAGTCATAAATGCTCAACTTTACTGACTTTATCATTTATACGTGTTATATATGTGTTATCTCTGTTTAAGCGTGTTCTATTCGTGGTTATACATGTTATTTTTGTTTTTAAACATATACGTGTTTACGCGCGTTATTTTTCTGTTTAATCGTGTTATATTCGTGTTTACATGTTATTTTTGTTTTTAAACATATACGTGTTTACGCGCGTTATTTTTCTGTTTAATCGTGTTATATTCGTGTTTACATGTTATTTTTGTTTTTAAACATATACGTGTTTACGCGCGTTATTTTTCTGTTTAATCGTGTTATATTCGTGTTTACATGTGCTGTATTTGTTTCTACAAATGCCTTTCAGGAAAAAATAATAATTATTCCTTTACAGACGTGGATAACACGCTTAAACGCAAAAATAACACTTATAAACACGTATATAACACGCTTAAACATAAAGATAACAGGTATGAACACAAAAATAGCACGTATATATCACTTAAACGCAAAGATAACATGTATAAACACATGTATAACACGCTTAAACACAAAAATAGCATATATAAAAACGTGTATAACATGTTTAAACACAAAAAAGAGCACGTATAAACACGAATATAACACGCGAACACAAACATAACACGTGCATACATGTATATAACACGATTAAACACAAAAAAGAGCACGTATAAACACGAATATAACACGCGAACACAAACATAACACGTGCATACATGTATATAACACGATTAAACAGTAGATATTCTATCGTTCTATCAAGTTATTTTAACTTGCAAATTGTTGTTTAATTTTAATACTGTGGGATGTGTTTTAGTTGTACTTATAGGTTTCTATAGCAACATAAACTAATAGAGAAAGCTTGTAGACAACATTAGATATGAAAAATCGATACATACAAAGTAGAATTAACCGATTTCGAATTTTACATAAATAACTATCTAAATAAGCCCCCCCCCCATAACATGATATAATTTGAATCGTCCTTTTAAAGCTATTTGATGTATGTACTTCCTGAAATTTAGCGTGAAGCTTTTTTCAAGATTAAGTGTGCTTCTTGTTTTGTTTTAGGATATTAACGCAAAGCAACTCAAGAGTTATCTGCGTTAGTAAACAACATCAGCTGTCTTTTTAAGGTAAATTAAGTAAAGCTTTTCCTGTCTGTCTTTTGATCTGTGGTAAACAGTGCTCAAAATAATACCACGGTTCCAATAAGCGGAGAGCGATTTATAATTTTATTTTACCGTTAACGCATGCGTATATTAGACTCACAGATTCTCAATCCGCCACACTAACGGCTGGGCCACGCTCGGCCCATTGCTTGTTTTAAAGCTGCGTATCATTCTTCATATAAGACGCAACGACGTACGTATGACGTATTTTAAACACTGTATACCACAAATTAGAAGGCAGGTGAAAAAAGCTTTACCAATTTTAGCTTTGAGAAATATTTCTATTTTCTTAACCAATTTTTTTTTTCTCTTAAGTGGGAAAATATTTGTTGGCAAATGTCACATGTATAGTTATATATATAAAAATCACTTAGCCAATAAAATGAAAATCACTGAATTGCGTGCATACGTATGCGCGAAAAGAAACGCGCAGCATACATGTTTTGCATGTTTACTGGTTGCTATGAAAAATAGCATGTACTTTAAAACGTTTTTTTAAGAGAATAAAACTTATTATTATTATAATTACGCCTTTATAATTTAGAAACTTTAGACATTAGTTATTATTTTATTTTTTTTTACACTTTTAATTCTTATATTTGACCTTTACAATTTTTATTTGTTTGCTTATTATTAAGCGCAAAGCTACACAATAACACAATTTATTATGTGTACTGTGGCCAAACGCTGGGGTCGAACCCCGAATTTTAGCGTTAGAAGCATCTTTTTTTATGTCAATTGCCAGAGAGTACCAATAACGGTCTTTTTTTTTGTTGTTGTTTTTTTTTGGAGTGATAGAACGAAAATAGTTCTAGTCATATTTATTGTCATTTATTTCTTATTTCTTTAATATTTTTTTTCCAAAGACTGACCACAAAGGAGAAGGACGCCGATAAAAGTTTTCAGTCCTTGACTTTAGGCTTACTTTCCGCAAATACTATTTTCTCGGTTACTTTACTTGCTAAGGCTGTCAATTATTGAAGGTTTTATGGTACCTCACTTGATAAACTATTAATTAACTAATCAAGACTGAGTAACTTCTACTGCGGTTCTGTTTTTCTCATTTCTTTGTTCGTGTCAGGATTTCCACCCAATTCAAAACAAAGAATAATTTCGCATTGCTAATGGGCTACAGGGAAGACAGCTAGCTAGTCAACAGTACCCACCGCTAACCCTTGTGTTACTCTAGTCTGATCAAAGAGTGTGTTCTCCGGTGGGACAGCGGTAAGCCTACAAACTTACAACGCTAATCTGACCAAATAGTGAACTCTCACCTCATTGTTATAGCGCACCAAGGTGACTTAAAATGCGGAACACTTTTTACCGGGAATGAGAAGCGAACATTGAATCTTCAGATCCACAGTCCCGGCATGCTAACTATTTGTCCACCCCTGTCCTCCTTTTATAACCTAATGTATTCAGCTCTGTTAATTTTCTTATATAACCAAGACATTTCAGAAAGATGAGAACGATCTTTTTTTCATGTTCATAATAAAACAACAACGTGATTTTAATTTCTCAACATCTTGGTTAGACACATTTATAGAGAGAAAAATATAATACTGTAAAACCCTTCACTTCCCGAATATTTTATTGTACCTCGAATTCAAGGCTTCATTGCTTTAATAAGATATTTCACCCATCTTCAGGTTATTCGTATATGCCTGAAAAATTAGACTACTTAGAAATGTAAATTTGGACGTGGCAGTCTTTCATTGGTGGAAATTTATCATTCCATGTTTATTACGTAAACTGATGAAGATCCTTAACAAGTATGTAAGATATAAGATTCCTTTTCAAATTAGGGTTGAAAACTACGTTTCGAGTGTTATGTGACAGAGTAATGTTGAACAATAACTGGAATAAGTTTAGAGTGTTATGTGACAAAGTAATGTTGAACAATAACAGGAATAAGTTTCGAGTGTTATGTGACAGAGTAATGTTGAACAATAACAGGAATAAGTTTCGAGTGTTATGTGACAGAGTAATTTTGAACAATAACTGGAATACGTTTAGAGTGTTATGTGACAAAGTAATGTTGAACAATAACATGAATAATTTTCGAGTGTTATGTGACAAAGTAATGTTGAACAATATCAGGAATAAGTTTCGAGTGTTATGTGAGTGAGTAATGTTGAACAATAACTGGAATAAGTTTCGAGTGTTATGTGACAGAGTAATGTTGAACAATAACTGGAATAAGTTTCGAGTGTTATATTACAGAGTAATGTTGAACAATAATTGGAATAAGTTTCGAGTGTTATGTGAATGAGTGATGTTTAACAATAACAGTAATGGATAAATCCCCAATCAGATAAAACGTCTTGACAGTTCTCTGAGCAGACCGGGTTATTCTGAATACATTCACAACAACTTAGTGTTATCCCTGAAAACATCTGCTGGAATTAAAACAAATTATTTAGTGAGTTTTAAGATAACATTTTAATATGTGAATATTAAACTAACATGGTTAGGAAAATTTGCAAGAGATTCACTTAGACTCTACATTGAAACAATATTACCTGTAACAGTTGAGTGATAACTTCCCGTATGTAAGGTATACGAACACTACAGAACACAAATGCTGCTTTTCCCTCCTCTTTTCGCCCCCTCTAAGGTCGTCGTGGACAAAATCCTGGATCTAAGGAAACAAAATGCAAGGACGAAATAACATTTTTAAAGAGCAAAACTGCACAATGGGTTATCTACGCTGTGCCCACCGCAAGGATTTAACCATTAATTTTAGCGTTATAGTCCGCCAAACAATAATATAAGTGGCAACTGGTAGTGGTTCGTTATCTTATTGTCGTTCTAAAAGATATATGGTATTCACTAGTTTGGTACTCAACTCGACTGGTAAGCTTGTCTTTCTCGTCCGCAGCTAAAATGATACAATTGGGCCTGCAAGGGTTCGATTCGATCGCTTATACGGAGGTGTTGGCTCGAGTTTCTTGACTATGTTGTTTCTCTCGCACGAACAGTCACTGACGAGACCGATTAACATAAGAAATTCAACCAACCACGTGACGCACGTGCAGCATCTAGATTTCATTCTGCAGTTGAACTATAACTTACATTTTAGTTTCACACGAACACCTCGAACATATTCATGATTATCGTAGTACTACTTTGGTCCCAGCTGTACAGTTGGATGCCTACATTTCATTGGTTTGTTTGTTTTGAATTTCGCGCAAAGCTACACGAGAGCTATCTGCGCTAACCGTCCCTAATTTAGCAGTGTAAGACTAGAGGGAAGGCAGCTAGTCATCATCACCCACAGCCAACTCTTGGGCTACTCTTTTACCAACGAATAGTGGGATTGACCGAAACATTATAACGTCCCCTACATATTTGAGTATGTCCAAAAAAATCCAATAAATAAATTTCTCTTCAAATTATATGCTTTAGTGTTAAGAATAGCAGTACCAGCAACCAAAAAACTGGTAGCTGAAAGGCCGAGCATGTTTGGTGTGACGGGGATTCGAATCCGCGACCCACAGATTGCGGGTCGAGTGCCCTAACCACCTGGCCAAGCCAGACAACATTTCATTGGTTCAGGATTTCTTTGAAATACAGGAATTATATAAAGAAGGACCGATGAATGAAAATATTATACCTAAAAAACTAATTGACCTAGAGGAACCAAATTTCAAGAGAACACAAAAAAGGGAAAAACTGATACCACAAAGATGGTAAATAATAAGTATATATTTTAGGGTTCACAACATTTCGGTTCGGGACGCTCTTCCATCGTGGATTTTAAACGTTGAGAGTTTTGTTTGTTTAAGCACAAAGTTACACAATGGGCTATCTGTGCTGTGCCTTATTGTTGATTTAGCGTAACACTACACGATGAGCTCTCTGCGCTCTTTCCATCACAGGTATCGAACCCTGGATTTTAGCATTATAAGTCCACAATTTACCGTTGACCCACCAGGAAAGTTTTGACATGGTACATAGGGACACACGAAGAAACTTATATGAGGTTTCCAAATCATGACAGATCTAAATGGGGATCCAAAGGGGGATCCATTTCTAAATAAGTAACATGATATTGATATTTTACATCAAATAATATTACCGATCTAAAGCATTTTGTGGATCAAAATATTTTCGTTGATAAGAAGAAACACTTTGAGCCCTATCAACAGGGTTTCTAGGCGCCCCAGGACTCGCCCCCCCCTTGCGTGCGTTCTGGGCACTTAGAAACCCCCTGCGTACACTCTGGGGACTAGGAACCCCCTCCGTGCATGTTGGGCACCTCAGAAACTCCCCTGTGTCCATTCTTGTCACTTAGAAACCCCTGCGTGCGATATGGGTACCTCATAAACCCCCTCTGCTTGTATCAGTGGTATAGAATGTTTCATAACCGTATTACATTGCATCATGCCTAAATATATTTTCTCGCAAACTAGCATTGTTTTTAGTTATTTTCTTTTACCAACACCAGACTGAATAAAAATCCGTATAATATTGCGATGACCAATGAATATCGTCCTGAACAGATGATGGTTCGTTTAGGGCTTCATTACTCCAGCGTAGTGGACACCTTGTACAATGCCCTGAAAAGTGGGGGGGGGGGGGGGGTCCTATAAGATCCAATAAAAAGTTATAAAAAAATAGTACATACTATTGTGGTATATAGTGCATGATACTGCAGTAAACAGTGTATGGTATTGTGGTACAATGTCTGGTCTGGTAATTGCTTCGTAATAAGATTTCTAGTTAGTTCTTAATTGGGACTAAAACAGCATAATCCGTGTTATGACAACTACATAAGCTTCTGACAGTTCATCATTCTAAAAACGGTCTTCATCAAATATTTTCGACTTCTTTTTTTTTGGTGACCGACACAAAACAAATGACCAAAAATGCTCCAGTTATACATCCAAGAAATATTTAATCATTCATCTTATCCAATTCATTTTAAAATAGGCTATTTCATACCTGGATTTATTTTAAAAATCCATAACAGTTTCTAACATACTATTTTTAAGTTTATTTATAACCACCCTGTACATTTACAGAGTCATCAAAAAATATTCGAAAGCTTTATACAATTTTCAAAGGTCAATATAGGCTTAGCATTACCGTACAGTATGTATAGTAATGCTAAGCCTACATTGACCTTTGAAAAAATAATGTTTAGAAAATGTTGCCTTTTGAGTTGTTATATAGATTGATAATATAATTAGCGTCTCAACCACTGCCATATTTCTAGCATCCCAGCTGGACTGAAGATCCCTGGTATTGCACGAATAACCTGTCCGGCACTGGATATAGCAGATATAGCGTGGTTGATATGCTATTATACACTTTTCTTTACTTTCACACAGAAATTTTTATTAATAATTAATGTGTAAATGTCATTTAGTTTGTTTTAGAATGTTCACACTACACAAAAGAGTGAACTGTCTATCATCGTTCTAATTTTGAACTGAGAGAATAGAAATAATATATCTAGCTTGTCTGCCAAGTAGTGGGAGTTGAATGTCACTCTTATAGTGCACCCACAGCCTCAAAATGCTCGAGCTGTTTAACCCTGATATAAGTAAAATATTTCAATCAACATAAAATAATTTCCAAATAACGACATCTCGACTAAGAACATGAAAAACACAGACTTAATTAAATAGTTTGTTTATAGTTAAGCGCAAAGCTACACAATGGGCTATTTATGCTGTGCCACGGGTATCTAAACCCGGGTTTTAGCGTTATGACTCCGCAGGCTTACCACTGTGCCAATGTTGTTATATGTAAGATATATATATGTATATATACACACACACAAATACATATACATACATATGTGTGTGTGTGTTTGTATGTATATGTATTTGTGTGTATATGTATGGTAGGGTTATTTATAAGCGGTGTGCCCTGAACTTTGTACATAGTATTAAAACAATTTGCTTGATACAAATAATACAAACAAAATTTTGTCATATGCTCCTATTAATAAGCAGCAGTAATATTTAGCACTCCCAATTCATAGAAATAACAATAAAATCATTTTACCAAACCAATTTAGCTGTATTGTAATTTACGTAGACTCATTTCAATCCACTATTAGAATACCATTTATTGTTCATATAGAAAAAATATTTATAAATCATATTGATCCACAAGAGGAACACAGAAATAAAATTTTAAAAAAGGAATATTTCTCTTTCTTTCAAAATGAGTAAATAGTCATGTATATTTCATATTCAAATAAATAACTAGTAGAAATACCTGTGTATCGAAATTACTAATAACTGAGAAATGTTAAATCAAGAACTGTTTAGGAAATCTTATCAATAATTCTTCTCCTCCTAACCCGATAAAACACCCACATGGACAGAACCCCCCCCCCCATCAGCGACTTAGAGTTATGACTTTTCATTTTTGGTTTTAACCGATAAACCTCGATAAAACGCTCCCATGCAGAGTAATAATAATAACAAAATAAATCAGTGTTTTTCGGTTAAACACTAGAAATGGTTCTTCCACTTACTTTACATTAACGACCTCACTTTTCTGAGTCACTATGTTCGTGAGATTTAATTACTCTGAAGGAAAAGGAACACGTTTCGCCCGTTAGTGTTCCCCGGTGGGACAGCACTAAAATCCGAGGTTCGATTCCCCGCGGTGGACACAGCAGATATCTCAATGTGGCTTTGGTCTCAAACAAATCGTCCGTTAGTGGTAAGTTTGTTTTTATAATTTCGTGTATAATATCAGCTGCTCTTACAATACTTTAACATAAATAGAACTATTTTGCACCTGTTATTATTCCCATAAGAGAAATTAGTGTGCAGATGATATACGGTATATTAGTATACTCATTAAATTATTAAAAGCGAAAATTCCGAAAAAAACACTGATTTTTAAGACAACATGTGACAAAACAACCAATATAAAGTCGTGGTATAATTACATGTGTCAGAACTACATCTTAACATTGCTTGGCATTAAGTAGGTAATGTAATACCACCTAAAGTATATTGCTTTTTGGTAGTATATGTAACACCCCCTTCCGATGCAAAATATTCATACACTCAGATCATAAAGATGTGTTCAGATCAGAGATTTTGAATTTCATAGACAAGGATATCCCTTTTACTTAATGGCATTGGAAAACAAAGAAATATGGATGAACTTTGGGTGCCAGGGCCCTTCATCAATAGACTTGCAACAAGTCCTATCCCAACCGTGATAAACAAAGTAATAAAAGCCGTCCATGTACTCCAGGAAACGACACACAATGATCAAGAAGGATCTCCGCCTGGAAAAGTAGCACATCTCACGTGTACACAAGCTGCTGCTACAGCATAGTTGTGCAACAGTCGAACTGCTGACTGAGAAATCTTCTTTCTCATACACTAGATAACTTATGGAAAGCAGCAGGTAAGAGAAGCAGGCTTTAGATATAACAGCTTTACGACGGAGCCTTTTAAAATGGAAACTGTGGTGTGGGGCTGAGGTCAAGATGTATGATCATCAAATAGAATATGAATGGATGTGGTGGTATGGACTGTAACGATGCAGTGAGACTCCAAAATCGTTTTAATATAACATACTCAACCTCTGTATAACGTTTTGCCTCATTATGCCCTCAATAGTTTCTTGACTTTTTACTTCCGTTTATCAACTCCGCCT